AACCTCTCTCTCGTAGTTTATTTTTTTGCAAATTTTATTTAGAAGTTGATCATTTAAGAAAACTTTGTTATTTTTTCTGTGTATACTAAGAAAGCTTTTCTGTGGTCTAATCAGTTCTCATGTCCCTAATTTGATGCCACAGAATTTTTCCAATCTTTATATTCTGTTGAAGCTAAAGCAAATTTTGAGGGTTCAAAAGCTTGCAGACAAAAAAGAACACACAACCCAATGCCAGGGAATATTTAGTTCACTAGTGATTAGAAAAATAAAAAAGTAAAATGTTTTTTTTACAATATTACTTTCTAATGAGAATGTGTCACTTTCCAAAAATTAAGATTTAATTTTATTGCAATTTGATTTTGGGCCCCTTTTTTATGCAGAGCTCATATACCATGGCCTATTTGGCCTGCCTGAAAATCCGAGACTGAATATATATATATATATATATATATATATATATATATATATATATATATATATATATATATATATATATATATATATATATATATATATATATATATATAACAATCTGACTAGAGTATCACATCTGATAATGAAAATAGTCTTGAATACAGGTTCAATGATGCTCTCTGTAACCACCACCTCTACCAGCATGTCGAATGTCCAACTTTAAAGAAAACTGATGGAAATCTAAACAACACACTTATATCAGAATCAAAAAAAAAAATCAACAAAGTTTTAACAGGATCTTGTTTTGGCACAGCCTCTTAAGGGCATTCATCTCTTAGCTAGCAGCACAATTTAAGCAGTAATAATCAAAATAGTTTCAACAGCAAAAAATTCTTTTATAAATATGGTAAATATGATGAAATAAACACTTTTATAAACAACATTTGCCAAGCTAGATTTATGGGTCGCAATGTTCAAGAATGTTATTCATTATGGTCTAACCTCTATAATGAAGCGTGCTATAAGTTTATTCTAAAGGCTTCATATAATACTGCCAAAAAAGGCAACCCTGGATCACAAACAAGTTAATGAAGCTAATTAGACTATAAAAAAGAGCTCTGGTACAAAAATGCAAACTCAAAGTGGAAAAATGCAGCGCACGTCAAAGAGTATACAAATGTGAAAAAGGAGGTAAAAATAGCAAACGAGCATTACGTATCTATGAGTCAAGCTAGCTAACCACAAGCACAATCCAAAAAGACTATTTGCATATATTCATAGTAAACAGATAGTGAGCAATCAAATATCGACATTAACCTCAAATTCAAATAAAATGAGCAGTGATGGAATAATAAAAGCAAACATTCTCAACAACCAATTTCAATCAGTTTTTACAAAGGGACCACTGACTCAGCCAGTAAATGCCTTTTGCATTTAAAACAAATATTTTAACTTCGGCTATAACAATCGACCAAAACATTGTTTCAAACACCTAAATATGGTTGATGGAATTAAATTAATCGGCAATGATAACATTAGTCCGTTTGTTTTAAAAGCATGTGCCACTTCAATGGCAGTTCTGCTAACTTTGATTTTTCAACTTTCAATAAAATCTGAAAGGTTCCATCATCTTGGCTCAGAGCTAATGCTACACCGATTTATAAAAAAGATACCAGAACAGATCCAGCCAATTACAGGCTCACTTCTCACAATATCTCTTACTTCTGTTCCTTGCAAATTTATGGAAAAAATTGATTATATTATGGATGTATTCAAAAATGACTGCAATACCAATTGAGTAGTTTTAGAAGTCACAAATTCCAAAAAAGATCTCAGAATTCTAATCTCTGAGAATCTTAAATATGCTCAACAGTGCAATCTAGCTGCAAACAAAGCAAATGATATGCTTGGAATTCTTAAACACACATTTGTATCAAGAGACATTGACATTTGGAAAAAAAAAATACTACATATATTAGACCACATCTGGAGTTTGCCATTCAAGCTTGGAACCCTTACCTTGATGGTGGCATAAAAAAAAAAAATTGAAAAGGTACAAAGTTCCTCAGGCTCTGAAAAATGCAGACTAAAAAACTCGATCTAAAATCATGAAATTAACTACTCTTGAACATAGGCAGAAAAGATGCAATCTTATTCAACAATATAAACTTCTCAACAATTTAAACCTAATTGATTGGCACGTAAAGCCTTGCAGCATAGCACCCAGAGCTCAACATTGAATCAGATTTTATTGCAAGATAAAATATGCTAGGCTAGATAACAAATATGCTAGGCTAGATAACAAATATGCTAGGCTAGATAACAAATATGCTAAGCTAGATAACAAATATGCTAGGCTAGATAACAAATATGCTAGGCTAGATAACAAATATGCTAGGCTAGATAACAAATATGCTAGGCTAGATAAAAAATATGCTAGGCTAGATAACAAATATGCTAGGCTAGATAACAAATATGCTAGGCTAGATAACAAATAGTCTAGGTTAGATAACAAATATGCTAGGCTAGATAACAAATATGCTAGGCTAGATAACAAATATGCTAGGCTAGATAACAAATATGCTAGGCTAGATAAAAAATATGCTTGGCTAGATAACAAATATGCTAGGCTAGATAACAAATATGCTAGGCTAGATAACAAATAGTCTAGGTTAGATAACAAATAGTCTAGGCTAGATAACAAATATGCTAGGCTAGATAACAAATAGTCTAGGTTAGATAACAAATATGCTAGGCTAGATAACAAATAGTCTAGGTTAGATAACAAATATGCTAGGCTAGATAACAAAAATGCTAGGCTAGATAACAAATAGTCTAGGTTAGATAACAAATATGCTAGGCTAGATAACAAATATGCTAGGCTAGATAACAAATATGCTAGGCTAGATAACAAATAGTCTAGGTTAGATAACAAATAGTCTAGGCTAGATAACAAATATGCTAGGCTAGATAACAAATAGTCTAGGTTAGATAACAAATATGCTAGGCTAGATAACAAAAATGCTAGGCTAGATAACAAATAGTCTAGGTTAGATAACAAATATGCTAGGCTAGATAACAAAAATGCTAGGCTAGATAACAAATAGTCTAGGTTAGATAACAAATATGCTAGGCTAGATAACAAATATGCTAGGCTAGATAACAAATATGCTAGGCTAGATAACAAATAGTCTAGGTTAGATAACAAATAGTCTAGGCTAGATAACAAATATGCTAGGCTAGATAACAAATAGTCTAGGTTAGATAACAAATATGCTAGGCTAGATAACAAAAATGCTAGGCTAGATAACAAATAGTCTAGGTTAGATAACAAATATGCTAGGCTAGATAACAATCAAGTAAAATTATCAACATAGAATCAAAATAAAAACAATTAAAATGCTTTTTGCTTTAGTATACACTTTATACACTTACAATGCTTTGCTTAAATACATAATAAAATTTTTTTTATTTAAAAATCTTTTTAAATAAATTAGTTTTAGAATGATTTTGCTTATAAGTTTAATAAAAAAAAGAAGACATGGTCAATATAAATGGGTATTTTGTCTTCCATTTACAAAGAAAACTTTATAACTAGAAGTTCACAGCAGCAGTATAAACAAATGTCTTATATAACTTTAATATTCTTATTAATTAGCTCAAGTTCATAAATATTACAGAAAAACTTGATTTGTTTATATTAGTTTTCTAAAATTGTTGTTATAAATTAATAGTATTATTATCCATATTACAGTAAAACATTTTAATTTGGTTTTATTTGTAGGGGAGTGGTAATTTGCTTTGAGTTCCCTTTTTTTTTTATCATTAAACCATGAAATTAGGTTTTTTTTTAAGGTCTGCTGTACACGTGTATGTGTTGTTGAAATTCGTTTGTTTTTATTCAATAAAATAAGTTTACATAATTATGCCAAGAGTTACTCAAATAGTTACAAAAAAAACAAACTAAAAGTCTAAAAAGTCAAAAGTGTCACCTAAAACCAAAAACGTACAATAACAACTAAATACAAATAAAGGACCACAAACAAATTCCAGAGAAAATAATAATAATTTTGAAATAAATAATAAAAAATAATAATAATAATAAATAATACTAATTAACTACAACAATAACTGTAATAAAAAAAAATTAAACTTCTTGCAAAATAGAATCTAAAAAAATATAAAAATAATTTATAATTAAAAAAAAGAAAACTGTTGTAATCCTAAAAGCATCAAAGAATAATACTTATAAAGGAAAAAAGAGAGTTCAAAAATAAACAAAAAATTTCTAACTAAAAAAACAAAATAAGTAAAAGTAAGAAAATTTTATAAAACAAAATTATATGATGGATGATTTAAAAAGTCTTTAATCAGCATATTTTTATTTACTTTTCTTTTTTTTTGAGAATAATGTTTAAAAATTAAATTATTGTTTATTGCATTTTTGTGTTTTGTTTTTTTACCAATGATTATTAATTAAAATCTAATGAAAAGATCACCAAAGCTCAAAAATCAAAAACCAATTGCTTAAAAAACCAGTTAGTTTCTTAAAATATAAAGAAATTTTTCTAAACAATTGAAGTTAGCTATTTTAAATATTAATATAACACTTACTGCGTTTTTTTCTTCTGAAAATTTCTTAAAATGCTACAAAATAGCCTAAACTAACTGTGAAACTAATTCTAAAATATTAAAAATGACAGTTTTAATTTATCAAGTTCATTAAAATAATATGAACGAAAATTATGGCTACTTGCCTATCAAGTGATTCGACTTTTCGACATCAATAAAATAATATGAACGAAAATTATGGCTTCTTGCCTATCAAGTGATTCGACTTTTCGACGTCAATAAAATAATTAAGCAAAAGTTATAATTGTGTATTCGGGAATTTTTTTGAAATATAAAAAACATTGTTTTTTATATTTCAAAAAAATGGATAGCTTGATATTTAAGAGAAGCAAGAGTGTTGCAACATATCTGACATGGCAGTATATATGACGTGGCAATCTTTTTTCTAGTTATTTATATAGATCATTTACATTATACTTGTAATTTAATAAACGTTTTTATAATTTTTTGAGTAGTTATGGAAACAATGCTGTGGAAATGGAAACCATTGCTGTCTATGATAAAACAACTGATGAGTTTATTATAAATACTCCTTCCACGCTAGCCCAGAAGTACTGGATCACAAATGGTGCTGTTCATGCAAAGCATTGTGTAGTTTTTGCTCAGTTAAATGTAGAAGGTTTGTTTATTTTTTTGTTCTATATATTTTTGTCAATTAACTTAATTTGTTTTTATTATTATACGTAAATAATTTATATAAGGTTTAAAGGTTTTGCATTTTTTACTAGCTTTTAAATAATTGTATTAGGAACTGAGCATGGTATACATGGATTTCTTGTTCGTATTCGAGATGACAATTTAAAAACTTTGCCAGGGGTTGTTGTGGAAGATATGGGCTATAAAATTGGATTGAATGGCGTTGACAATGCAAAGTTAACTTTTAAAAATGTTCGTGTGCCAAGAGAAAACCTTTTAAATAAATATTCTGATGTTGATAAAAATGGCAAGTTTACAACTAGTATAAAAAGTGCAAGAGGAAGGTTTCTTACCGTAGCAGACCAGTTATTATCTGGAAGAATATGTATTGCATCAATGGCCCAAGGTGCTGCAAAAACTGCACTTGCTATTGCTTTGAGGTAATTGTATATTGTAAAATAGGGCTGAGCTGTATAATCATCTTTTTAAGTGGCACTTTATAGTATAAAAAGTGAATTTAATAATTAGCCCTATTTTATGGTAATTAATTTTTTTAGTTGTTTCTATTTTTTTAGTTGTTTCTATTTTTTTAGTTTTCTTTTTTTTTTATCTTTAATAGTTAAAAGATTTTTCTTAAAAAGGTACTCGGCTACTAGATTGACAGTAGGAAAAGATGGAAAGTCTGACACTCCAATATTATTATACCAATTGCAACAAAATGCATTAATTCCGATGCTAGCAGAAACGTTTTGCCTAAATTTTGCTCTTGACTATGTTAAAGAGAGATGGGCTAATCAATCTGAAGATGGATCTGAACATCCTGAAATTGTAACCATGTGTTGTGTAATAAAACCTCTTTGTGGGTGGAATCTTGAAAACGTTGCTTCAGTGTCTCGCGAACGCACTGGAGGACAAGGTTATTTATCGGTTAACCGACTTGGTGAATTTATTTCTCTTGCTCATGCTTGCATTACAGCAGAAGGTGATAACGCAGTACTTATGCAAAAGGTAGCCAAAGAGTGTTTAGCTCGATTTAAATACCAAAATATTAATCTCCCAGCGGTCGATCTTAACTCTTTGGACTATTTACATGCTTTGCTAGAGAAGCGAGAATCTGTTTTATTTGCTCAACTTGGAAAAGAAGTTGGTTCCTTAGGAAAAGATCAGGTATTTGAAACTTGGATGTATCATTCCAGTGATCTAGTACAACATGCCGCACGGTCTTTTGGCGAGCGACTTGTAAGTGATAGATGTAAGGTAACCATAGATCATGCTGACATTTCTTTGAAATCTACGCTAAAAAAATTGCATCATCTATACCTGGTAAATGTTTTGTCTCGCAATCTTGCTTGGTTTCTAACAAATAATCTTGTCTCAATAGAAACATCAAAAAATGTCGCTGCGTTGTCGTCAAAGCTTTGTAAAGAAATAGCATCTATGTCGTTAGCTCTAGTAAAATCTTTTGATCTAAATGACCATATGCTTTCTGCGCCAATAGCAAGTGACTGGGTTAAATACAACGAGTATGACAATCAAGGAGAGCTATAAAATTATTTTTTGATAGTCAATTGCTTTGTTATTTATATGAAGCATAATAAAATTTCTTTGGTCAAAAAAAAATCTCGGAAAGTTAGAGTGGATATACTCTCCTCCTCTGATTTTTTTAATTTATATATATATATATATATATATATATATATATATATATATATATATATATATATATATATATATATATATATATATATATATATATTTGTTTGTTTGTTTGTTTTGTATTTGTAGTTTAAATTTTTTTTTATTTATATTATTGTTCAAAGTTTTTTTATTAGTTCTATTTTTTGGTCGATTGAACAAAACCGTTAAACTTATTTTTGTTTTCTATTTACTTGAAATTTTAAAAATATAGGCTAAAATATTTATAATATTATTTATGATAATTTTATGAAAAGTAAGCAAAAAAGAGACAGGTTTAAACAAATCTGCATTCGTTGACTGGATATGGTCATAATTTTGATGTTTATGATTGAATATTACATTTATACTCATACATCAATAGAATAAAAAGACTTCTAGGTTGTCGTTACATTCAATCGAAACTGAGCATAGGTGTATTAGTCCTGTAAGTTAAGAAAGGTGTGTTTTTAAAATCTGGACAAAAAGTGTTTCTCAAAAAATATTAATTTAAAAAATATTTTATATATATTTAAATACGTAACTCACGTATAAGTATGAAGTATGAACCTAATTTTTACAACTATTTTAAAATATTTTGCGATGTCCGCACTGTTCCCCAAAAGTTGTGTCACTCAAACAAATTTTGGTTTCATATAACACTTAGGACCTTAGAAGTTGTTTCCAATTGTTTTCAAAATCAAAATTTCTGTGGCATATTTTTTAAATTTTTCTTGGGTATTTTAAAGGTCTGAAATAGAAGTCGAAAATTGGAGCTACTCTGGTCTGCATAAGAGTGGGGGCAACCAACCATCAAAGATATTTCAGGAAAAATAAACTATAGTTGGTTGCCTCTTTTAACTATGCATCAAAATTGGGAGTAACAATAAGTCTACCATCATTTTCGACGTTGAAATCACAATTTAAAAAAATCAGCTTTTCTTCATTATTTTAATTGTCATTTTCTTATCAAGTAATAATATGGCTCAAACCCAGAGGTCCGGGGTTCGACGCCAGCTCCAGCCCAATAAGCGACATTGGTACGGAAGGAGGCGTGAACTTCCCGTTAAATGCTCTCTCGCGGTGCTCATTATAAGACCGTAAGGACTTCTGGGAGCACCTAAGTACATACAAAAAAAAAAAAAAAATAGTCAAACAATAAATATAAAGTTTTATTTTTTTAATTGAAAACGATAAAAAAAACACACACACACAAGATTATTCTACTTCCTCCAAAATGTTTAACAGCTGCCAAAAGTTAATCGCTATGCTCTGAATGTCCTTCACTTCTTTTATATCTAGATCAAGTTGGTTTAAACTTAGCATGTACTGCTTCACCACATTATTCAGCATATCTTCCTAAAGTGCATCTATAATACTTGACAAATGGAACTACGTGGTACAAAATAGTATTAATTTTCCAAGTCAAGTTTTTTACCAAAGATTAAAGTTAGTTCTTGTATAGATATAAACTAGTTCTTTAACTTGGAAATAGATTCTTCAAATCTAGTTTCTAAAGTGTTACCAAAGCAAGCATCTTTAACAGATCTGAAGTATTTAAGACACTCAACAAAGGGAGTGAGATAATAATGAGTGCTTTTAATGGCAAGCTCTAATTCATCAAGATTTTTAATGATAGCATTTGAGCTGTTGCCATCCCAACTTCCACCTTGGTAACCTCTTAAAATAATATTTTTTTGGTTTCAATTACTCATCAAAACCAGGTCATTGATCTAATAAAAGATTTCCACGTAATGAAACTAATCCTATCATAAGGTGTAGTTCTGGTGGAGCTACAAGGTACTGTTTAAAGATTTAGGATCAACTACTAAGTAGATAACTCTGGGATTTATTACATTCATACAAACTTTCATGAAAGCCTTGAATTCAGTCTCAGCCTTTTTGGAGTACCAATAATCCAAGCTTTCCAGAGATCTCAATATTCCTGACTCTGTTGTTGAGAGCCTCTCACACCAAAGACATGCTCTCAAACCAGCGTGAGATGATAAACCAAATTCTTAACTAGCACATTTTAAATCAAAGACTATATAGAGTTTAACATTCTGCAAGTTTAGTTTTTCTAGAATAAGTCGTAAATTGTAATTTGATTCTGGAATATCTTTTGTTATTCCAAGTATTTACATTATTCTCTTCAGGATCAAATTTAATTACAATAACTTTTAAGAATGAACCCCCTGAGTCTAAAGAAATTCGAACAAGAATACTAAATGGATCCATTTTCCACTGTTCAATTATATTTAAAATAATATTTGATGTTTCTTGAACAAATACAACATCTCTACGAAGAACAGATTCATTTGGTCCAAAGAACTCAATCTAAATAACAAATATTATTTTATAGAAATATTATCCTTTGGTATTTTGTAATTAGTCAATACTTATATACTCCATTATCTTTTCAACTTCATAAAATTTTAAGATGGGTTCTTCAATTTCATTTAGATATTTAAAGATATTTGATTCAACGGATGATCTTTTATCCATTCCTTTTCTTAGAATTACTATCCATTCCTTTTCTTAGAACTACTATCATATCTTTTGTCTTATTTAGTGAGAGTTCTAAAACAATTTGCAATTCTTGTACAATTTGAACAGATAATTGTCTGAAAGATTGCCTAGCAGTTTTGTTTTCAGGTGTAACAACCTTTATACTTAGTTTCTACTTGTTGATATATAAAATTTGGATCCATATGCTATTTTGTCAGTTTCACTTTTTCTCTTAAGTATTCCTGCTGCAACTTATTAAGCTTGAAGATAATTAATATCAAAAGCTAAACTTATAAGGTTGGAGACAGCAGTTTCTTTCCCACACTGGTGTGGTAACCTAGTCTAATGCTAAAAAAACAGTCTGAACATAAAATCCTTTTAGTTTTGATTTCGTTTTCTGGTTCAGATTTATTTTAAACATTCATCCTGCCAGTCTTTTTTGTCCAATCAATCTTGAAAATATAATTTATATAAATATTAATGTATTCGTTTGAACATATAAGTTCAAAATTAACTCGTTAAATTAATTTGATGTGCCATTATTCTTAAAAACTAATATTATTCCGAAAAACTTTGTTATAAATATAAATTAAATTAGGAAAATAGAAACAGAATAAAAATTAGGTTAGGCGTAATTTCATTATGTATATTACAAATATACCTCCATTGATCAACTCTTTTAAAAAAAAAAAGAACTGAATAAATATTATCTTTACTTTAAATATCTTTTCTCCCCAAGCCATTCTTGGATTTTTTCCAGCCTTGAGCAAATACAGATTTCTACGACAACTTGAACATATATTTGTTGGAAAATCTTCTATTAGTTTCGAATATCCATGAAACACTTATAATTTCATCAACTCTTCCACTCTGTTGTTTACATAAGTAGAGATTTTGAATTTATTCTAAATTGCTCCCAACAACAACAACAACAAACTTGTTGCACACTGATGGAGATGACATTATTATAAATATAATAAGTAGATATTTTTTTATATCTAAAGATTTATTTTCAATCAAATAAGGATAGCATTTTATATGAAGCTAAGGATATGTAAGGATAGTCATCCATTGCATATATTATATAGCATATGTAATATGTATTATATATATATTTAAATAAAAAACATAAAATAGTCAAATAAAAAAACAAGTCATTTATAAAAAAAGAATATTAAAAAATACATGAGGTAAACAAAAAAATAGAACTTTGCAGCAGCATAAGAAAATTATTTTTCTCGATCTTTGATCTATTAGCTTTTCGATCTTTCTAATCTTAATTTTAGATTAATTTAGATTAAAATAACATAAAACGTAAATGCTCTTACAAACATTTTGTAAAACAAAACCTTTTTTTAGAACATTTGTACAAAGTGGCGCAAAGTGATAATATTTAAAATTGGCGCAAATAATGAAATTTAAAAATGGCAAGAACTTGAATGTAATTTTTAATATTTAAAATTATATTGAATTTATTTAAGTTTATATTGAATTTTTTGTCTGTTTATTATTCAAAATGATTTTTTTTTCTTACTTAAAAGAAATACTCATTAAAAAAAAATTAAAACAAAAAAGTAGTTAAAACTAGAAAAAATCACTTTAAAAAATTTAAAAAAGTTATGTGCCACGGTCATTTTGATTTTAAAAACAATTGGAAACAACTTCTATGCTCCTAAGTATTATATTAAACTATAATTTGTTTGAGTGACGCAACTTTTATTCTGGCGGTCCAAAATAAAGAATAGTGTCCGTCAAAGTGATAATCATTTTTGAATTTAATTTATAAATTCTTCTATATCATCAAACGTTTGAAAAAAAATTTTTTTAATATAAAACAAAATCCTATATCAAACTAATGTACAAAATTATATAAAAGGTAATTTACAAATTGTGTCAACTAGACAAAGAACTTGAATCTCAGTGTTAGAGTTCGAACTATTGTAATTGTAATGAAAACAATAACAGAAACAATAACTATTGTTATTGTATTAAATTTTTTAGAAACAATAACAATACCTGTGTATTGTAATAATGTAACGGGACGACTGAATAAGAGCGATTTTCATAAGTGTGAACTGGCATAAGTGCGAATGGCGTAAGCGCGAACTAGCATAAGCGCGAATTGGCATAAGTGCGAACTGGCATAAGTGCGAAGTGTTGCAAAAACTGGCATATGTGCGAATTGGCATAAGTGCGCAAAAACATTTTGCAAACATTGGCATAAGTGCGAATTGGCACAAGTGCGAACTGGCATAAGTGCGAAGCAGTTACAAAAACTGGCATAAGTGCGAACTGGCGTAACTGCGAATTGGCATATGTGCGCTAAATAAATTTGCAAACATTGGCATTAGTGCGAACTGGCATAAGTGCGAAATGGCATAAGTGCGAAATACTAATTTGCACTTATGCCAATATTTGAAATTTTATTCGGCGCACTTATGCCAATT